AAAACAGCAACTTTTTCTCTTTCAAATGGAAAGTGTTCAATATTCAATCTGAAAATTCATTTGATGACTGAATAGTGGATAACTTCCCTTTTCTCTTGTTGTAAGTGCCTTTCAGAAAAACACTTATACTTTAGGAGCTTTCTCATACATTTCTCCTGCAAGACTATTTGAGTTAGGCATTCTCAGAATGCTCTGGTTTAACATACCTATGATGTTAAATTGCTATGATTAGCAATTTTATTCCTCAGGGAGACCCCACCTAGGATATTAAATATAGTTAAATTAATTGTTGTTAAATAGTATCTACATTTGTTGAAGTTGTGGGCCTGAGTACAATTTTCTCACACTGTCTTGGTGTTTATTGTTAACTGGTGATAAATCTTTCAGAAAGAAACACACAGATACAGTTTGGTGGTTTTGTAGTTTGTCTTTTTCTTTCGAGAACTTAAAAGTCAGTGTTAGAGAATTTATTAAAACATTTCAAACTGACACAAGGTTATCCATTACAGATAAATGGTCTCATGGAATTTGGGTCCAAAATAGGTCATAAGCATTATGGCTAATTCATAAGATTTAGGCTATTTAATAAGAGTATGAGTACCTACAAAAAACTTACATTTTGATGGCAATTAGCTAGTAGATTTATATTAAATATACAGCTAACAAACTAAAATGGCTTCTCATTTTGAGTTATCAGTGTACATAGTACAATTTGACACTTTTGTTAATACAGCAGCAGATACAAATTTAAACTGTAAATTTACCCTTGCATTATACAGAAATAAGTATATGATTTAGCCATATTTTACATATTTAAGGTTTTAGCATTTGAAATTAAAATTATCTCCAATTAATTTTTTTTTTAAAATGTGTTTTTCAAGGTTTTTAAAAATACTTTTATTTTCTATTCTAACTATGACTAATTTTGAAGTAATGTTTACATTGCCATTAGACTTGAAGACATTAGGCTTTTTGTATGTGATTTTAACTCCTCAGTGCCATATACCTTAGAGAGCTTAATGTTGGATTATCTAGAAAAGGGAGGGAAGAATTTTCTTATTCATATTCTCAGTTACACTTTAACTTAGCAACTGAGCATGTCTATAGACGGTACTATTTCAAAATCCTCTTTTAGCAAGCAGCTTCAAAAGCTGTTTCATGGAAACAAGAAAGCATCAGAGCTGTGGGAAGGAAATATGTGATTTGTTTTCAGAGCCAAGTGTGGACAACATGTATGTTACAAACCTATACAAAAACGCAGTTTTTCAACTTCCCCCAACTGCCTGCAGTTCCAGAAGTTTTCAGGAGCAATACTATTAAAAAGCTACTTTAGGGATACCATTGGGTTTTTATTATACAGCAGAGACAGCATCACAAATATTCATTAAAAATTTTTAAAATCCTTCCACGCATAAAATCACTGTCAAATTAACAATGACTATAAAAAAACCCCATAAATATTTGGAAATAGCCTTTTCTTGTTCAGAGACTGCATGTTGCAGTAGAGGTATAACTAGTCAATAATGTGATTACACCAGCAGCCACTCACCCTGTGTGAAGAGGAGAATTTCTCTGTGTGTTTTGGAAAATACAGACAACATATAAAACTGTGTTCAGAGATTCAGAGCACACCTATCAAGCAAACACCTATTAATCTAGAATGGTCATGCAAATTCAATAATCTCACCTCCAACAACCTTCTGACATTGTTTTTCTGAAAAACCCAATTATTTTTTCTCTAAATCAGCAGGGATTATTTGACTCAAGGGATGGAAAGGCATTGTGGTACAGTACTTCAAGCAACCTTTCACAGCTATTTATTTCTCTGGGAGGCAACAAATGAACTTGCACAGTGAGCAAATGCAGCAGCATTCCATAAGGCATACACAGGCTCCAAGGACAAGTTTAGATCCTGTTTCAAGGATGACTGGTCTAAAAATCAACATAACATTGTATCCCAAAAGCATTCTGTAATAATTTTTAAGGCAACAGCTCAGAATCTTCAAGCTATTGCCTTCTGTATGAAAATCATATTCTAATGAATCAACTGAATAGATTTTTTTTCTCAGTAATATAAACAGAAATATTAACTAGTTTAATGAAAAAAGGAGTTTGACTTATCATCTACCATACTTGTTATGAATACAGCTACTATTCTGGATGATAAATTTTGGATTTTTTATTAGCTTTATTTCTGCCCACTTGATTTTTTATTCACCAAATTAAATTACAAATCATTTTGAATAGATTTGGGGTTTAATTCCTTTTGATACTTCTTCTGTTACAAGTATTTGGGAAAAATTAATTATTAGTTTGTCTTCTGAAATTAAAATAACACAATATTCTGAAAAATAGCCTTGCATTCCATACAATCATTGTCCGTCACATTACCGGTCTCTTAAGAAATAATAATCTTTTCTGTTCAATATTGTTAACAAAAAGCCACCAATTTCTCAAATTCTTTGTATTACAGTTGGAAACCACGAAGATGTGTTTTGATGTCACTTGAAGAATAACCTGTAATGGCTATCTGTAAAGGTATTAATTTCAAATACTAGTCATATATTATTCAAGATTACAAAACATGTTTCTATTACTCCTTGGCATATGCATATTAAAAAACGAGACAAAAGCTAGCAATTATGCCTGTCATTATAAAGTGCAGGAATTTCCAATTGTTGCAGAAAAGCTGGAAGACTGCAAAAAATTAATGGTAATAAATGCCTTTTGTTTTGATTTTCTACCTGAAGACAATGAAGTAGAAAAGGCCAATAATTTTTTTAATGTCACAAAGTCATTGCCACAATTAATTCAGCAAAATTAACTACGCTGTTCAATTATTGCTGCAATTCTTTTTTACATCATTAAAATTCATAGAGGTTGCTAAAGCTCTGCTTACTGTTTGGGAAGTTCCATTAGGCAAAACATTAGTTATAGTCAGATGTGCCTCTTAACACAAAGACTTTCGTACATGCTGTCCTAATCATTTTTTCTCTTTTTTTCAAAGTGTCTCAGAAGGTTGAGCAAAGACAAAAACAGAACACAGCAGTAGAATATACTTTTGTTACATCTATGAACTACACTGTATCCAACAGGAGTATTACATTAATACTGAGCTAAAATAATCTATTTTTATACCTCTTTATTCAGTACCAAAAATGACCAAGTCTACTGATGGATGTATTTAAAAGATATTTAGTACTTAAAACATTCACTAATATAACTCACAAAAATATTTTTATAAAAAAAGGACAACTAATCTATTCAACTTTTGTAAGATACATTTTCTCATAGATTTTTTTCAGATTCCCTCCTGTCAAACAAACACTCACTGGACAGTTTCGTCAGCTTTATGTGCACTGATATTTTGCAATTTACGTTATGTGGATAAATGAGAAATGCTAATTTCTGGGACTAGGTATGTCATTTATTTTAATTTAATTGATGAAATTTTATTTCAGCTACCATACTGAAGTTACTCACGTTGCTGTGTGTAGGCTACAGCTGTTTGTAATTGCGGGCAGATACTTACCTCTCTCTGTCTGGGGAGTAGTGGTCATCTACGGCACGGTGTCTGTCCATCCGGTTCAGGGTGTTGTAATGCGCAGGAGTAGATCGAGTCCCTCGCAGTCCCTGATCCACATTCCGACTGAGGATGAAAGAAATCAGATTTTGAGTTTTGAGTGTGCCTGGATGCCTCTCACTGCTTTGTACAAAGAATTATCAGCAATCGTGTTGGTAACAAGATCTGTTAGCTGTCCAGACTTTTCTATACATTTAAGTTAAATAACTTTAAATCTTAAAGTTAAAAAAAAATTCTCTCTTTTTTTGTTCTTTGTTCCAATATGTTTCTTATGGAAATAAGAGAAAAACTTTTTTTTTTTTCCCTTTATTAAAAAGGTTAATCTTGTACAACACTTCATTAGTCTTTCCAGACTTCAAGCAAAATATTAGTTTCTGACAGAAACATACACTGTAAACAATTTTTCATGAGTTTTTGATTTGGTTTTACTATAAACATGTAAACTGTAGTAAGACACAATGGGGACTTGTGGCTGCTACAGTGGAGTGCAGCCTGCTGAAAAAATTGTCATCTGAATTTAAAAATAGCTGCTTGTTTTGCCCTGAATCTTACTTGCAAAACATCTAAAAAAGTCATAACCATTTAATTAGCTGTAAGTAGTGCTTAGTTAAGGAGCACCAATCACCTGTACTAATTGAAACCAAAGTTTGCCTATCAATTGTTTTGTTCAGTTTATCTATCAATACCTACTGACACACACTAACTTTACTTTTTGTGCTCTCTAAAACAAATCCACAAGAATAGGAAAACAGGAGACAATGCTTAACTGTAACAATTACTGGATAATGAAAACATAATTTTTTTGTATTGATTTGAAAATAACAAATTGGATGCTTCCCTCAAGTTTTAGACCTGTAAATTCTTATGTCTCCTGTCCTTTACTGCAATCTGCACTAGTGTGAGCCTCAGTTTCCTTTTTTTTTTGGTTTTATATCATTCAGTCCTCCTTTCCTTTCTTGTCATTTTGTCTGCCCTTTCGGTACCTGTCATTGTTTGTCATTTAGCAGTTTCTGACTAGTGTTAACTTGTAAATGTATCCTTTACTGCTGCTGCCATGACATTATTTATTTCTGCATGTAAGTGCTATAAAGGTGTTGCATTACACATAAACTTTTGCCTTCAGCTCCACCTCATCTGTTATAAAGCATTTTCCACTCTGGCATTCATGAATCTGAATATTGAGTTTACCCTGGCTAGTAAAGAATAACAAGAGTAAACAATTTCCTGTCAGCTAAGGCACAGTGGGCCTTTGGTGGAGTTTGTTAAGAAAATCAAGTAAGACTGAGGACTGCAAAATGGTTTCTAAGAAATACCATGGCCCAAAAACTCCTGCCTGCAGAGGTGTCAGTAATGGGAAACCTCTGGGCATGCAGAATGCTCACTGCACTTAGGACATCTATAGAGCAGCACATGCATAATGAAGTCACCTGAATAGGGTGCAAATGTGGTTGATAATTCTTACAAATTTCATGAGTACACCTACATTTTCAGTAGATCTAAAAGAGATATTTCTATAACCCATAGATTATACTTCTAGCTCAACAAGTCCTCAAAGAATTTATTTGGTGTGTGGGCAGGGAAATATTACACAAATAATGCATTTGATTCTGACATTGTAGGAAACAGCTGCAATAAATTTAAAACTATATTTAAAAATTTAGCTTTAGGAAAGTTAAAAAGACATTTTGAGTATGTAAAGAAATCCAAGACTACAAGAAAATGAGAAGTAGATTTTTCAATGATGTTAAACAAGTGTTAATTACGAGCTTGGGTAAAAGATCTGCCCAAAATGCACACAGCATGGATGCAGACAGAAAAACATAAAAACACAAACATACACACAAAGATATTTCGCTCACATTTATGTCAATATCCAAGACAAATAAATTCTGGTGATTTAGCATAGGAAAATACTTAGACTGAAATCAGTATAGTACAAATCAGAATAGGCCTCTTTTTGTCCACCATTTATGTCTCATTTCAAGTCAGGCTGACTTGGTTTTAGACGGGATTAGATTTCAAGTAGAAACACACCATTTCTGCCTCTTAGCTGTATGATGTGGGATGATTTGGAATCCTAATATCTCACTAATGCAAAAGAATATCATATAGGCTACATCCATTAGAGGAAATGGTAAGTAAAAACCTAAGTAAGATATTATGAAGTCAAGAGAATTTTAACTTAACAAAAAGAACAAAGGTAAAAGAAAGGAAAGCAGAACACAAGAGAATAAGGATGGCTGCAAGAAAGGGAGAGGAACATGTACCTGCCAGGAAATATTGGATAACAGATCTTCAGTATTAAAAGGGAATTGTGAACATTATGGGCAAAAGAGATAACTTCCACTTTCATTTCAACTGAATTACATCATCTGGAAACCTACCCATACATAGCAACAAAGTACTGGAAAACAGGTTTAATTCCCATTTACATCTGTCCTTCTGCTTCCTTCCTCTTAAAAAAGCTTGTCCTGCAGAGTATCAAATCAATTCTTAGGCAATATCCAAAAGTACTAACTTCTGGAAGAAATTTCCTGGTCTAATTTTCTCAAGATAAATAGTTACCAGAGATCTTCCAAGATCAGGAGTTGATAACTTTCGCTATAAAAGTGCATGTCTGTCAGTTTATTCTTGATGATTTAGAAGTATAAAAAATGTAATAGAAAGGAAGATATTATGGGTAGCCAGGGAGGCTCCCCAGAACCTTAATTCTACAGAAATAAAAGAGTTGAAAACATCCACTGTCATATGAATGCTAAGGAATTATCTAACTATCATATACTATAAAACTTGGCACCTGTAAATAGCTCTAGAAAATGAAAATGTGGAGAGATACTTTTCCTTCCTTAGATTGGACTGTACTGAATTTTGGTGAAAAACTAGATATAAATAGGCAGAAGTAAGATACCATTATGTAATCATATAATAATAATAATAAATAATATAGTAACAATAAACCATAAATAACATAGAATTACAAATTAGGCACATCACTATAATGTATGAAAAAGACATTATTGGCTTTACATAATTTTGTAAGATCTAACCAATTCATTTCCATTTTAAAAGTCTGGAGATTATTGCCAGTATTGGTACGAGATCAATACCACTTTAATTGATATAACTGCATAGTTAAACAAGAGTTTACCTTTGTGGGGGAGGGACACTGGGAGACCACGATCTAGTCCGTCCTATACTATCTCCACGGTGAGGGGACCCTGATCGAGAACAATGATTAGATGACATTACTTGCTCTGGCACTGATAGTGTTGAACTTTGAAGATCTCTCCCATTATGTCGGTAATCTAAAAAGAAATGCAAATATTCAGTGAATCTGAAGTTGTACTTTTCAACTGCCTGCCATATCTGTAGTAGTGAGAAACTCAGTAAAAGATGGGATTTGATCAAGAATGTTATCACTAGTTCTTGGGTTTTATAATAAAACATACATAAAGTTGACTCCTGTTGTTATGCTTTATCTAAGTACAATTACAGTTCCTGTAGTTATACTTTAAAAGTATAGAAATTTATACCATGCACCAAACTGGGACTTACCATTTATGGGTAATATGATGTATTAATAATTAAACTAATTAAACTCATTTTTCCCTCGAATAAAAAAGGTCACTATTGCATTTTTAATTAAAATTATATTGCAAATGTTATTTGTAATGTTTTCGAGTAGAAATGTCCATAATTAAAAATTAATCCAAAATTTAGTTTACAAATTTGTGTTAGGAAGGTAATATGGAATTAAATAATGAGATTGGCTTCAAGAGAGATTTGTATTTCAGAAACAATTAAAGTAACAATGACTCAGTAACATTGGATTTCACTCACAATTCTGAACTAAAAACCACAATTCCTTCACAAATAGGCTAATCTTGAATAAGCCTAATAGAAGGCATAAATAGTCTAGGCAAAAGCCTCCAAGTTACACTGGCCTAAAAAGCTACCACATGGACATAGACTTTTAATAAAAATATTTTTAAAAGGCTGGATGTATTAAAAGTGATTGTCTTAATCTAATTGAAAAAGTTGAATTCACTGTCCTGTGGTGCAATACTCTCTGAAAAAAAAGATGCTAGATATAGAGCAATTTCAAGTAAGTTTCCCCAAATTTTGTGAGGATGAAATTAAAACACAATGATAAGAAATTGAGGATTTTCAATTGTTAACCTGATTATAATGCTTAGCAGGAATAGGTCTTCAGAGAGTTCCTGGTGGCTATGACAACTGATATAACTGATTTCTTTGTTCCAAAGACAGAAACCAAGTCAAGAATACTTAGATCTTCTGGCTCATTCAACTGTTATTCTTTTCCCATGAGAATCTTCCAAGAGTGTAATAATCTTCTGCTCATGATTTTTCTTATTCCTGGAAAATGTTCATTAGTACCTAAAGAAAACCTTATGAATTCATTCCACTTTATGATTCGAAGAATGTTCAGTATTTTCAACTGAGTACTCATATTTGCTTACGGCCTTACAACCAAGGACATCTATAAACAATCCTAATTCATAAATAACTTCTTCCTCCTATGTTTAGGTGTAAACTGCTTTGTGTGTATCTGGTATGAGTACATAAAGGGAAAAAAAGCACATCATCATTACATTACACTAATATAAGGATGCTGAGGATCAGGTAGTCTCTCCTCACTACACAGCAGTCAAATCATGTTATGTGCATCCTCAGTTAAGAGTCAGTAATGAAATAAAAATTTTATCCTATATATGAAGTAAACGTATTATCATAGGCCCTCACAAAACATATAGGGGTCAGTGCAACATAATTCTGAAATCACCAAAGGCAAGATGAGGAAATTTTATCTGTGTTTGAAACAGGGTGTTATTCACTCCCTAGTAAAGTGTAGGAGATAAAAAAATAATTTTTTTGCAAGTTAGTTTGGAAGTCAATACAATCTGCAATTCTGCAATACTTTAACCAGAAGTAAAAGAGCTAAAGTAACAGTAGTGGAAATCCCACCCTGCAGCAGACTCCTGGCAGGACCTGTGGACCTGGGGAGAGAGAAGGCCACTCCAGAGCAGGTTTGTGACCCACCCTGG